GGATTCGGAATGGGTATTACCCTATTTTGTGGTTCCTTAATGTAATTAAAGGGTTTAGGGTTTAGGGTTTAGGGTTTAGGATTCGGAATGGGTATTACCCTACTTTGTGGTTCCTTAATGTAATTATAGTATAAAGGGTTTAGGGTTTAGGGTTTAGGATTCGGAATGGGTATTACCCTATTTTGGGGGCTCCTTCTTGTGATTATAGTATAAAGGGCCCCAAAACCCTACTCTAATTATTGAGACCCCTATATTAGTCTCCATTGTGGTTCCTTTTTTTGGTTGAACCAAATATATAGATATGTGTATATATATATAATATATCTATATATATATATATACATATATATATATATATAAAGGATTTTATAAGGTAACTCCAAAACGGAACTACCATGGAGACCATGGGTAAGTCGTGAGCTTTTAAGGTATTGGGTTTTGCTTCTATAGGGTGGCTGCAGGATACAGTTTGTTGACTAGGGTATAGGGAGATTTGCCTTACTGGTGTCCTTTATTCTGGCCTTAAAGAGCAACTATTCATGAGTAGCCTTGGGGGATCATCAAAGAAATCAGAGCCCAATGGGTGGATTCATTCGGGGACTCTGTAAGGATTCGGTGAGTGTTCAGCCATTGCCCGGAAGTGCGCGGAAGCCGCTCATTACAAAGAGCGTCAGATAGCCCTCAGTCTTCGTCAAGTAGTATACCTCAAAACCACAGATCTACGTATGTATGTATGTATGTATGTATCAAGGGCCCTTGTACCCTAAACCCTAAACCCAAAAGATCTATCAAGGAAAAGGGCCGCCAAGGCCCCCCTTGGCTTCAGCCTTTGAGTTTCTTGGAGCCCCCAGGTTTCAGCTGATCCTGGATGAGCCGGAGGGTGGTGCTATCTTCAACCCGAACCAGGACGGAACCGAAGATCGGCCCGGAGCTCGGAACTCCTACCAAAAAAAGGGGGGCAGAGAGCAGAGCAGCTTTCATCCTAAGCATTCTGTCTCTCTGCGCTAGGATCTTTCGGCCAAGCTTCTTAGAGAAAATCCTTCTTTGAGAGTTCGGAGGTGCGTCCTGACGGTCACCATCTTTAACGAGAACGATGAGCTTACAAGGATATCGGGAGGGGCCTGGCTGGTTCTTGTCCTGGAGCGATGGGAGTCATAGGTCAGAGCCACGAAAGCATGCTCACTAGTACCGTGCTTAGTACCGGCTTCCTGCTGAAAGTTCGTGTGGCCTTCTCGAGCTGTTGTTGTCTTAAATTGGAGCGAGGGTTTGGGACGACTGGTATTCTTTGTTGCCTTTGCATCCATACAATGCGGCGCGGTGTTTCGCCGCATCTCTGACACCGGCCATGCCTCCACCGGCCTAGGGGTCCGGGATGTGCCTGTCGCTGCCCGCAACACAGGTTCCCAGTCTCTGAAGGGAGGGCAGGTTGGTACCCGGATTTCCGAGGAGGCCGAGGAGGTCGTGGGCCGTGTAACTCTTGTGCGACGGCTGAGCAAAACCCAGCCGATGTCGCTCGCGCAGATGCAGATGGCTCGAAGACTTGGCGGTTAAGACCACCTGGCGTCAAGAAGTCTCGACCGTCGTGAAGAGAATTGTGTGCGGCGCTGACCTTGAAGTATACAGCGTAGACAGTTGTGACTTGGGACACCCTCGTTCTGGGATCGCATGGTCGATTCCATCAACTGTGTAAGTCAGCAAGTGAGCATACACATTTGTGTGCCACTAAAGCAGATTGTAACGCGCTGCAAGCACACGGCAGCCCGTTGAAGCTCGCCACAACATGACTTGCTGCACCGTTTGAAGTTTATCCCCTTGGTGTTTGATTGCGTTCGGGCCTGGGCTGTTCATCTTGCTTCTCGTGAGTCAGACAGTCAGACCGGTGTGCAGGAACATTGCCTCCATTCAGATGAGCCAGTTCGTGGACAAGGTCATCAACATTGACAAGTTACGACTGGGAACGCAGTCATGGTACGAGGTGCGGTGGGTGAAACTTGGTGTGCCTTTGCCAAAGCAGAAAGCATACCACAGCCCTTCAACAGCAGCCTCGAGCCCTGTAGGGCCTATGGCCTCTGACCGAAACCGTTGAGCGCCCCCATCTGAGCAGGAAGTTCTTGCCTCCTTCTGCAGCGTGGCAGAGGAGGGCGAGAGGCAAGCTTCAGACACTCGGGCTGAGGGTCAAACAAGTTATGAGTCACAGATACAAAATCATACACCTTGCATGTTTGTGCATGTGTACCTATACACACACACACATATATATATATATATACATATAAGTAACAAATGTATACACATGCATGCATAGTACATACATACCTATCTATCTACCTATCTATCTATCTATCTATCTATCTATCTATCTGTCTATCTATCTATCTATCTATCTATCTATCTATCTATCTATCTATCTATCTATCTATCTATCTATCTCTCTCTGTCTGT